CAACATCTTTAATTATAAATCAAGCTGTGTATCCTAAATTAGTTGCATCCTAATGACTAGCTGCAGTTCTTAGTGCAAAGGGAAGTGATAAAAATTTATACAGTTTCAATATCTAAGCATTTACGGTTCTCAGACACCTCCCAAGCAGTCAGTCTACCAAAACTTTGTTTACCTTTCCCAAACACTACACTTGGTCTAAGGTGGTTAGAAGGTAGGCTAAGATCTGTCCTGGCACCTCCTTTTCAATTATTTCCTGCCTTTTCAAATACAGTATTTCTCAGCAGTTATTTAATAGTTACCAGAATGATTCCAAATATATTCCTCTTTAAAAAGAGAGGATCACAGAAGCATAGAATATTCTGAGTTGGAAGGGACCTAAAAGGATCATTAAAATCCAATTTCTGGCCCTGCACAAGACGTCCCCAAGAGTCACACCATATACCTGAGAACACTGTTCAAGCACTTCTTGAATCTGTCAGGTTTGGTGCTGTGACCACTTCCCAAGTGCTCAGCAGTGGAGCAATAAAAATTGAACAGCTTCACCTCACTGAAGCTCTCAGCCACCCTCCGGGTGATTAACCTTTTCCTAATATTCAGACTAAACTTGCCCTGACACAGCTTCATGCCATTGTCTCATATAAGAGCTAAGATTTTCTTAGTTTCATAAAGGAAACACAGATCTTTAACTCTGACAAATGTACAGAGAACAAATGACTTTTATGGAATTATGCCCTTTGTACTAAATGAAGGATCAGCTCTGCAAGATATATTTAGTCATGAAGTGATCTGCCCTATATAAAGCAGCCTGCAGCACATGTTCTCTTTGGTAGTGACAAGCAAATGTCACCCAGAGCAAGAATTCTCTAAAACCTTACACTAACAATGGATTCCACCTCCTCCTCGGTGACTTGGGGAAGCTGAATCCAGAAACACAATTTATCTCCCTGACAGGACAGGGCTCTGGGCCAGGATTCCATACATCTTATCACCAGGGTATTAGGGAATCCCTGGGGAATTGCCACTGCACCATATCATCCTCCAAACAGAAGATGCCCAGATAGATAGACAGACAAGCAAATTCTTCACGCCACTCTCTGAAGCAAAATCTAAAGAAAGAGCATTATTATCCCACAAGACACAAATGCCTAATAGGAAAAATTCTTGCAATACACTTGAGTCCACATGCAGAGCTGACTTAGCCATTGATATGTGCTGTGCATTTTTTAAGCCGAATTTTTATGAGAAAAAAAAAAATTCTGTTGTATAAATTATTTGCTTGAATTAAAAAAATTGAGGAGAATTTTTTCTGTGCCTTAAGCAATGGAAAGTCAGATAGGAAAAATAACTTCTCCAGGCCTTTCTCCTGAAACCATGACCTGATACAAGTGTATTTGTAACTTCAGACTGTGTGACCAAGTGTAATTTATAGAGTTTATCTAACATGGTGGTGCAGTACATGCAATTTATATACTGCAGTTTAAAATACACAGATGGGCTTTCAAAGAGAACACTTCTTCCATGTCATCAGAGACTGGGTGTGAACAGTTACTGCTGCTTTACAGATTTTGCACAACAGCTCTTTTTATACGACTTTATGAATTTAGGTTACTTTTCATTAGTTTTACTATCAAAGTGAGGACAGATTACACAGTTCCTCAACAAGAGGCAAAGAGGCTCCAAAGGAAATACCAATGCCATTTAAAAGACAGATAACTGCCTTAATGAAGCTCCCTTTCTTTTTTTTCCCTGTGAAGGACTGAAGAGTGAAAAATAGTTCACATTCACAAAGGCTACACTAATTGTTTGCAGTATCTGAAAAGAGTGTTTGGATGAGGTGAGGTGAAGGTTGTACAGTTTTTATCTGACTTGTGCATTTGGGATATGAGAAATATCATGTGATATATTGGAAGTACTGAGTGGGGTTCAAAAAAGGAAAATTGAGCATTTCTCTACTGCTTTGTACAACTCAGTAGCACAGACCTTCTTTGAATATCTGCCAAAGAAATAAAGAGGAGATGGGTCATGAAGTTTTCATCCGTAATTTCCTGTTACCAAATTTTTCATTTGCAGCTACATGAAGGTCTTCTGCTTTATTCTGGAAGCATTTAAGTAAAAATGCACACTCTAATCTTACATGAAATCAAATTATTTTAAATCATGAGGACAAAAGCAGTCCCAAATGAGATTTGCTGTCATTGTTCAAAATGCTGAATATACAAAGGGTATGAAAATGTCTTTACTTCAAGAAGGTTGAAATCTGAATAGCACTGACATGTGGTTTAAAGGATTACAAAAATCCTGTTATCTCCATTATACAGATGGGAAATTGAGGCACAGAAAGAATAAAAACTTGCCCAAGGTCAAATAAGGAATCTCTTGAGATACAACTTTTCTCTCTACCATACCTCAGTATAAGTTTATAGTCACCTAAGAAAGAAATGTGGTAGTAATCCACATAACATACTTCATCATGGACATCTTTCTCTTATCATTTATTTCTAAAATAGGTTCAAACCAACACTGTCAATCTCCTCTGAACACAGTTTAGTGGTGTACTTGGCAGTGCTGCACTAACAATTGGACTTGATGATCTTAAAGGTCTTTTTCAACCTAAAGGACTCTCCATTTCTACAGGTTTATGAAGGACACTGTAAAAGTATGCATGCACTAATTAATGAAAGCTGAGTCCATCATGAAGCTGTCTGGACTATTTTTGAAAGGATGGAAAGTTAAATAAAATACTCCAGCCTCAGAAGCCGTCCTTGTAAAGGAAAACAGTGGGACTGATCTGGTACCACACACAGTTTACAGCATGTGAATCTGATGGACATGGGTTCCTTCCATTACAGTAGTTTAAAGCAGGGAGACTTCTACTGATGTCTAGACTGTAGCAGAGCAACTCAGCAAGGAAACAAGGAGAACCAGGTCCTTGCACTGCAGGAAGATGGTGACACACTTTAGTGCTGACTTGACAGGAGGAAAATTGCAGCATTCATACATGATAGATCACATGCACCGAGCTGAGTGAACAGCTTGCAGTCAGCACTTCCCGGTGAGCAGCGCAAGCACCAGGACCACAGTGTGAAGCATCTGCTCAGAGTCCTCCAAGCTTACCAGAGATCTCTGCACTCTTCTGATGAATAAGGAATGCCAAATGACTTTTTTAGAGGTGGTTAGGAGACTGGAAGAGGTGAATTATGTTGGCAGTATCTAAGGTTAGAGAGCAGGAAGATGCTTCCAAGCATCTTTAAGGAAACATTTTCTTCCAGCCCTAGACAGCAAGTGTCTCTTACTGCTCATATAAATGAACTAAGAGCCAGATTTGGTTCAACAGTTTCTCTAGCCTTCATCACAGTCAGATTCATGCTTGCCTCCTGTCTCAGCAATGCCACTTGCTCCAGGTACACACCCCAGTGGTTACATCCCTCTTTCACAGAGGCCAATCTTACCAGACCTTATTCAACAAGAAAATAATTGTGTATGTGAGAATTAATTACACAGCCTCCATTAATTTTTTCCCTGTTGTGACAGGAGCTACAATTAAAATAAAGAAGTTGGGTTTACTGTTCATTCCCTTATGTTCTTATCCCAGATAGGGAGAAGGATTGCTTTTAAATTATCACAGTGTTTTGCTCATACTGAAGTGGGTTTTTTTGCTAAGAACTCTTTCTTTAAGAGGCAGACTTGTCCAAGAAAAGGTCTCTGCAACCTAATTTTCAACAAAGCCCACTTTAATAGTTCCCCAACATGGTAATGCTTAGATGTTATCCCTATACTGTGGTCCCAATCTGCCCCTAATAAACATGCATTTTGAGGATACCACTGAAGAAACAGGTTGCACATTACTCAGCCATGCTGAGGTACTGGGACTGACATACTGCTTTAAAAGCACTATGAAGGTGAAAAACTATTCATAACTGTTTCGTATAACTCATATTTTGTGTCATGGTGAAACAAGTACTGAATGTCTAGTCTGGCTTTTTATAATATTAATATGCACCTGGTAACATGAAAAGTCTCAGCTTTGCATGAGTCCTGCCTTATCACTTATAGCATCTGTTTTAGAGAACTAGCATGCAAGTATTTTAGAATTAAAAAAAAAAAAAAAAAAAACAAAAGGTAAATAGCACTGGACACATTTAGAATTTGATTTGTTCTCAATTCTCTCCATGACCACACATGCAAAATACAAAACACCACCTCTTTCTAGCAGCAGCTAAAGGCACATAGAACATCCCTAACAGCATTTTACAGAATAAGGCACTAGATAGCAAAAAAAAAAAAAAAGACTAAACATTTTGAATGGCAGTGAAACACAGTCATCCCTAAACTAGATCATGTTTGCTGTTTCACAGAGCACACCAAGTCTGCTTAACAGTTTGCAGTAAGAAAGACAGATACATAATGCATTTCCTCCAAAAGTATTTTAAGTCAGCAGTATACAATGGTAAAGATCACAATGTGAGCAGACTATCACCTCACCATATTCCCCTGACATGGAAAGTTAAAACTTATCTTTAATTATCATACGCAGTCAGATTTCAGTGTTGTGCCTCTTGCTGAAGAAAATCTAAGTTTCCAGAATGTTTCATGTCTCAGGTACACCCTGCTGCTGTTTCTCAGGCCCTCTATCCACCAGGCCCACAGATGATAAAAGTGACTGCTGTTCTGCAGAACCCCTTTAAAAACCCTAAAGATAATTCTAAGGCCTGCACAGAAGCAAGTCCACTTGCCAAAAGCCTTTGAAACTTCTCAAATCACTGGGTATTGCACAATACACATTCACTGCCTCCACTGACAATCACATCTGGATTGTCTTAAAAGTTCAAAATGTATATAGAAAAGGAAACAAATGTAGTAACAGTGCACTAGTATGTTGCTGCCTATATTCTAAATTTCTGTGGTTAGACCAAAAATTTCTTGTTTCATTGCTGGCATTAGGATGGTCAGTAAAATTTCCTTGTAACTAAAGGAAACAAATTCCTTGAAAAAACACATACCAAGCACATTAGCCGTACACTGGAGAATTCCTGAGACATCTTCAGTTTCTTCATTGCCAGAGCAGTCTGTATAGGAGCATCTGTTTGATATATTGTGAAAATTCTTCTCTGCATCTCTGTAACTACAGGAAAAAAAAAGTTATAACAACTCCTTATACAAATGCAAAGTCAACAAAAATCTTTCAGAAGTGGAGGCAAAGGATTAAGGATTAATTGCCCAATGATGGGCAATTTCAAGATTCAGCTGGACAGAGTGCTGAGCCATCTTGTCTAGACGATGCTTCTGTCATGAAAGGTTGGACTAGATGAGCTTTGAGGTCCCTTGCCAACCTGATATTCTATGACTGAAAAACAAGTTGCTATTCTCTTTTTATAAGAAACATTCCAGTTCATTAAGCAGTCACCATCTGATGGGATTGTACAGAAGCAGGATTGAACAGCAGTTTACCATTTACATCCAGGTTATGTACTGCTATTCCAAAGCATCTCTAAGAATTTGAGAGAAAAAGTTAAAAATTAAATTAAAAAGCTTATCATGGAATGCTGTGAATTGGAAAGCACAGAGCAAAGCATTACCATGCACCTTTCCCCACCTCACATTAACACTTACCCAATAACTTGATGCTCAAAGTACTGCAGTGTCTTTTGAAGAGTCTGCCGAATGGTCTGAGGCTACGGAAGAATAATTTTAAAAATTGTGAGATTAGGGAATTGGAGCACAGTTCAATTAACAGATCTTTTCATGCACTATTTTTCTTCAGTTTTACTCCTCTTTATCTTCTACCTGCCATATGCCCATCGCAACAACAGATATTAAATATTATTATTCATTCCTTGTATCTTACTTCACCATTTAAATAGGAAGAATTTTACAATGTGGCATAATTAATACTGCTTATAAGGCTAGTTGCACATAACAAAGGAGCCACTTCACTCTCAAAAACAGCTCTCAAAAACTATCACCCACCAACTATCTCAGTAATTTAAAATAATTAATTTGAAATAGTCTGCAAGAAAATGCCATTATTTTGTGATGAAAGTATCACCAGGAAAAGGCATTGAATTTTTAAACTCTATATGCTCCCTAGAGCATTTTCTAATAAAGAATATTATATAGATGCAGTTTATTTTGGCTTATTTTCCTACAAGCTATAACTCTTCAGTCATCTTTCAGATTACCAGGAAAGTCAAGTTCATCAGAAGAAAATCATGGCATGCTTCAAGCACTTCTATGCTATTTCACTTTAATAGGTGTTCACCAAACTACACGGGTATATAATTGTCTTTATTTGCATTATTACCACTACTAACAGAGTTCACCAAAATACTTATGTATATAAATGTTTATTTTCTTACTATTACTGCTGCTGAGGCTGCTATTATTTGAATGAATTCATGAGAGATCTTTTGGCAAATAAAGGACATGTGATATCCATGTAATTTTCTCTCTTGAATTTTCCAAGTCACCTACGACAAAATGTTATTCCTCAGAAATTACTAGCTTGTATCAAATCCAAGGTTCTTCACCTGTCTATTTTGACCTGGTGCCAGAATTCAGACAGAGATACACAAATGAGAGTTATAAGCTTTTCTTCTGTATCAAAAGCACACATGGACATTTTGATCAGACTCACAACACACACTGAAATTTTAGAGATGTTTGGTTTTTTGCTGCCTTTTGGAATAGATTTCTAATTGTTTTAGAAAGTAATAGTCAAAATGCCCCTTAATTAGAGGAATCTCATTCTAAAACCACAATGACCTTTGAAAGTCTCAAATTTTGCTTACTGACCTACAGATTCAGCAGTTCAAGAGCTGAGCTTTCCACCTTGCTCATACTCTTCCTCATGAGTTTGCAGGAGTCATCTCTCCTAATGACAGCAGGAAGAAAAAACTGTATACCAGGCTACACTAGGTTTGTACGACTGCAAAAAATTTATTTTCTATTACCAAACTGTAAGAAAGTGCCTACACTTTTGTATTAAAAAATTAAATTAATTAAATTGTAAAAATTAAAATTTAAATGTATGCACTCAAAAAGAGCATAAGAGGGCTTATAGGAAAGATGGGGAAAAGCTTTTTGTCAGGACCTGTTGCAGTAGGACAAGGGCAATGTTTTAGAACTAGAAGAGGATGGAATTAGACTAGATATGAGAAAGAAGATATTTATAGCAACGGTGGTGAAACACTGAAACAGATTGTCCAGGAAAGTGGTAGGTGACCCATTCTGGGCTGAAGATGCCCCTGCTCATTCTAGGGAGGCTGGACAAAAGGTCCCTTCCCTTCCAACCCAAACTATTCTGTGATCCCATTAACAAAAAAAAAAAAAAAAAAAAAAAAAAAAAAAAAAAAAAAAAAAAAAAAAAAAAAAAAAAAAAAACACCTCAACATAGATGGAAACCTTGGAAAAGGTTTTTCTTGTTAACTATCAGGTAATCACTTTACATCTCTGTGGGAACTAACTAACTACCTGTGCCAAAAGGCTTTAAAAGTTGCATGTTCTCTTGTAAAACACGATGGAAGCACCATATGAGTGAAACCATCACATATCAAAAAAAATCTCCTTCTCAGTGGTACAGCACATGTTGAAGTCTTCAGGCCTAATGGGCTGCAAACATATTTAATGGCATGTTCTCACTGAGACTCAGAAGCTTTCCTCTGCTCAGAAGGCAGAAAAATCCACTCTTTACATCTAGAAGAGATGTATTTTCTCACAGCAGCAACAAAGCAAAGCAGAATATCTTTAAGCAAAGAAGTGAGAGCTGTCATTTCCCATCTCTATGGAGCATTTCCCTCAGCCCCACTCCCTACACATAAAATATCAGTATTCCACCAGCAACTCCTCTGACATGAAATAGGGAATAATAGAAATGTTTGATTGCTAAATTAAATCTCCATTCTGGTTGTCCCAAAGTGCTTTTACAGCAAGAATATGGATTGCAGCAATGCTTGGTATCACGGCAGAGAGGAAGAAAAACAACTTCTTGTCTGCTCAAGAAGTTTTGCAGCTTAGAACACCTGAGCAATCGTCCACAGATTGTCTTTGTGCTTCTCATGCCTGGATACGTACTGCACTCCTTAACCAGGGAAAAATCATTTTGACTACCTCAAGATTTGACAATACAAGCAATCTCCTAGTCCTGAACTTATTTCAATGGTAAATGCCTCTTCTCCTGCAGTGCTGAATGGAAAAAAAAAATTCCCATGTTAACTCTCTCTCCTGAAAGCTAAATCAGTTTCCTAGCTGTTGTCAGACAATCCTAAACAACCTCATGAACTCATCACTTTTCACCGGTAACTCCTATCGAATCTTAGAAATTTAATACAGACAAAACCAGGATTTACTATTAAAACATGGGTCATAAACAGAGCTCGATGCAATGCGCTCAGAGCCAGAATGGAAACCGATCCAAGGAGTCACAAAGTCTTTCTTCATCTCAGACAAGAATTATGATGGCATGTTGCTGTGCATCGTTAGAGTGTCACTATGCTCACCATCTCAGTTTGCTGTATTTCATCACTGGTGAATGTCATTTTGCTACAAATGTAATTCTGTAACCAGGGCCATGTCTAAACAAAACAGTGAGAAGAGATATGACACCTGTTTGCCTACAAGGGCAGTTTGGGGCACTGCTTCTTCCACTACTGATAATGCATTGCTCATGAGACAGAGAATGAGCAGGAAAACAACTCCACCTCTTTTCTTTTTCTTTTTTTTAATTCAGTAACAAGAATGGATGGAGGCAAAATAGCTAAACCTTCTCCCAGCAGCATAGCACACATGACCTCTCCCAGAAACAGAGTTCCATCACTCAAGGAGGTAAAAGACAGCCTTTAACCATCCACCTCCTCCACTGTTATGCCATTTAGGTGCTCAGTACCAGTAATTTACTGAAGATATTGTAAAGTTTCATAGCTACTTAAAATTATAGGATTTAATGTAAATATAAGCCAGGGACTATTACCTAAACAATTATATGTCAACAATTCCTTTTGATTATGATGATTAACTAATATTTGTATGCATCACAAGAGGAGTAGTCACATCTGTTCATGTGCCTAAGGACAAATCAAAGCAAAACAAATTCTTGTTATTCCTAACTGTAAATTAATCCAAGGATTGCCATACCAGATCATATCCAAGCTCCATATGGTACGATGACATGTAAGGTATAAGGAAACACTGGAGATACTCAGATTGATCTCTTGCCTGGCAAAGAATAGAGGACTTCACTAAAATAACTCGGAATTCAGATATCAGGCCATGGCTAACCCTAATGTGTCAGAATAATTTGTAAAAAATTACTGAATCAATGAGTCATATAGGTTTGAAAGAAAGTCTGGAGGTCTCCTAGATCAACATCCTCCTCAAAGTAATTTGAGTTAAAACTGGTTGCTCAGGTCATTCTTCAGACAAGTTTTGAGCTTCTCCAAGGATGGCAATCTCACAACCTCTCTGGGAAACCTGTGCCAGTGTCTGAACACCCTCATGACATCTCATTTCTGTCCATAATTCTGATTTTAAACTCCCATCTTTTTTGCCTCTCATCCTTCCTCCATTCTGTATCGCCAAGGAAAGCCTGGCTCCATCTTCCCTACATACTCTGCTCAGTTTAGCTGTAGACTGCATCTTTCTGCTCACCCTTTTCTTCAGAGAATGAACCCCTTTCCCCAATAAGCATAATTTAAAGCCGCCTTCACAAGGTTGTGCAGCCAATTAGAGATGGCCTCAGCTCACTTTGTCAGATTCTTGCTCAGCAGTCCTTGCTCCTCAGAGCATCCCCCATGTCCCTGGAGATCACAGCTTGGCTAACACCACCACCATCACTGCCTGCTAGATGTGCCTGCACCAGCCAGAGCCTTCTCCCCTCCACCAGCAGGACTGAGGAGACCCCAGCTGGGCACCTGCACCTTTCACCCCTGCACTCAGAGCCGTGTGGTCACTCCTGACTCCTCGAGGTCTTCCCTGGCTGCATCATGGGTGCCCACATGGATGAGCAGCAGCGGTGCTCATAGTCCAGGAGACAAACAAGCTCTGGCAGCCGCTTTGCAAAGCTCATGTGTGAGCTCTTGGCAAGCAGCAAACCTCCTGTGACAGCACAGCAGGCTGGCACACAATGGCTTCTGTCTCCTCAGGAGAGAGCTTCTGATACCTACCTCACCCTCCTCTTCTGGAACCTTCTAAGGGTTGAGGCTCTGCTGGATCTGCTGGCCCATCTGAAGGGAGGGAGGTCATCTCTCCCACCTCTTCACAGGGCACTTTACCTTCTCTGTACCTGATGAATCACAGGTGGAACAGGGGCCTTAGTTATGCTGTCAGCAGTAACCAACCTCCAGCCCTCGCCATCTTGAAAGTTTCCACCCTTGACTCTCAAAGCTTATCTCTATTTTTCTCTCCTTCCTTTCAACATGGAGCTCAGGTTCTTGGCTCTGCAGGGCCTCTGGAAAGATCTGTCCATCCTCCCTCATTATCTACAACAGCTCTTTCCCCCTGGCACCTCACTGCTCCCTGACCACAGTGCCTGGCCTTTGGCACCACCAGGCCGCAAGGCCAGCGGTGGCAGCCCTGCCACAACAGCCACTGTCACTCTGCCGGCCACCACTGGTTACAAGATGCACTCCTAGAGAAATGTGCCCTTCCTGCTGGATCTCATCCTGCTCCCCAGTAGTGCAAAACTTGTTCAAGTCCTGAAGATAGAGGAGTAATAGTTCCTCAAAAACTCCTTCTATAACTAACTGGAGAAAATCTTTATGAAGACATTTGTCTAAATGAACTTGAAATATTCCTGGTTTTTAAAG